AATAACATGAAATTAGCTGCAACACCATCATTTCCTAGGACAGTCGTGAGGTGCCCTACTAGAGCTTCCCTTATTCCTTTCACCAGTTGTGATTTAAGCTGCAACAATAATAATAGATGAGCAAGAAGGATCATTAGTCATAACAAGCAAAACAAAAACAGTAATTAGTCTAGAATGCAAGAAAATTTTATGCTCGCGAAGTAGCCCAACTGGCATTATTTCGCAGATACTGTCAGAAAAACATCCCCTCCTATCCCACCCCCCTCCAAAAACATAGAAAAATAAAATAAAAAAGATCAGAATAAATAGGTAAAGATAATAAGAGTTTGCCATTCAACTACCTCGAATGTGAGTGGGCCTGAAATAAAGTCTTGAGCGGTAAGCTTCCTGTGAACAAGGCAATGGAGTCGAGGTACCTGAAACAAAGAGGTGTCTTTAAGTGCATGCTCAAGAGACTTGAATGCTTCTAAATATATTTACACCGCTGGCCTTTCAACAGAATCATTCTGCATAGTTGATTTAGCTTCTACCAGATATCAATGTAGCCTTGGCTTTAGCTTAAGCAACTATATGCCATCAAATGATTTAATAGATGAAGATACCAGGAGCAAATGCAGAGGCTTCTATCAAACAGAAATATATTGTACCCTGATCCGTCATTGGATGCTATATAGAATGGAAAAAGTCCTACAACTGTGATGTTCCCTTTTACTTTGCTCCAAGACACAGAATATCACACTACCATTGTAGAAATAACGATTTTAGTTTTAGTTACCATCTCTTGATTGGCTGAGAGCAAGGAAAAGCATTAAGGTGGTTTGCTGAACAGAGAAGATATTCGAACCAAAAGACCATAGCAGGATGTTGTCCAAGGAACACAGTCATATGAAGGTAATTATTGGATTGCAATGCTCAGAACCAAAGATTGCCTTTGACAACTAAGTAATTCAGAGAAGTAAAACATGTTGAAGGGAAGTTCATGTTTGTAGAAGTATTCTAAGTATCAAACCCGGTAGTGACCGATAATAATAATAATTAGTCATAATTCTGCCTGAATCACTTCAACACCCTAAAACTCACTCCATATGACTAAAGCAGGCCTCATCACATAAAAGCATTTGAAGAAGAATACCTTGCTAGGAGGCATCTGGACCAATGTATCATCACAGAAGCTGCTCTCCAAATCCTTGTTGTCATTTTTGTCTACTGGAAACTCCGGATCAAATGTGAAGACGCCAATAAACTCAAAAACATCATTTAGCTTCAAATCAGAATCAGGAGAGTCGTATATCTGTAAGGATTAAAAATGTAAATAGTTAGAATCCACAAAGATTATTCAACAGGCTTTGAAGGAATTCCAGGAGGGCCTTACGAAAATTCAGAAATCCGACGTTCTGACGGATTAAAAGATCCTGAATGGAATGATTTTGGATATCGGTTCATTAGTAAAAAACCTTCTCCAACTTTTGAATTGTCAAAACAAGAACTTTATGTGAGAGTTGAAGCCCCAAAAGGAAAATTGGGAATTTTTCTCATAGGA